GACTCACACCGGCCCACCGCAGACGAGACTCACACAGGCCCCTGGCACCGCTGCTTGGAAGCACCCCACTCCCTGCCCCAGCCCCTCCCCTGTGCTGCCCCATCTAGGGCTGCCTCATGGGCAGTGACCCCACTTGGCTGGCTTTGAGTCTCCCCCAGGGTTGCATTTACTGCTGCGAGGTGGGAAGGGGAGGACAGGCCCGAGAGAGCACTGGGGGCTGGGGTGGAGGGCTGGAGGGAGACGCTGTCTGTGTTTCTGCAGAGCCTGGAGCTCCGGCTGGGCCTTGGTGTGTGCTCCAGCCTCTGCTGCTGACTGCCGGCCACTCCACCTCCGGGCCCGTCCAAGGAGCCCCTCGGCATTGTCGGAGCAGCCCGGCGGCCACGATGCAGCAGCCCCTCCCGTGAGCTCCCACGGTCTCCCCACTGCACTGCCTGTTTAGTCTCCCGCGTCCCTGGTGGGACGGGGCCCTGGAAACCGCCCACACCCCTCCCACAGCACGCGTGTCTCGGTCTCCCCCGGAGCCGCCTTCCCTTCTCGTGCCCCCACACCTGCCCCGCCAGCCTCACCTGGTACACAGGTCCTGCCCTGCCCGCCTGCTCTGTGTGGAGATGCCCTTCCTCTGCACTCCGGTGGCACCTGGGCACCACACGTCATGGTTGTCCAGACTCTGGGCACCTGGGCCCCCTGCCCAGTCCAGGCCTGGTGGGTGGTGGGTGCCAGGTGAACACTTGCCACGAGGACTACAGAACGGTCCCTCCTGCCCTCGTGACCCCCTCAGCTGGTCCTGAGGGGCCGGCACCGTGGGGGGAGAGGGATAAGCGGATGCCAAGTGGGCCTGTGGAGGCTCTGGGACCCCCCACCCACAGCCTGGTCCCCACGTGGCTCCAGGCAGCCCCACCGCGGTGTCCCCAGGATACCGTGCTCTGCCCATCTCCACATCTTCCCTTGCTCCTCCTGTGGGGGGCTTCCGTGCTCCAGCCCTCCCACTCAAGCCTCCCCATGAGCAGGGCAGCAAGTGTGGGACGAAGACCAGGAAGCTGCCGTGGCTTTGGGAATCCAGCAAACCTGTCGGAACTCAGTTTCTCCAACTGTAAAATGAGGACAATTGTCCTGTCCTGGTCTCCTCACAGGACTGCTGGGACGCTGAGGGGTGGTGGTGGTGGCGTGAGTCCCTATCCAAGGGAGCGGTGCTGTGGGGAGGTGTCCTGCTCCCCCACCGCGGACTGCTGCAGCCCCCTCCCTGGCCCCCCAGCACTTGCCTGTACTGCCAAGTTGAGTGTGATTAAACACTGTCTTGTTGCATCGACTCCAGGGCCCCCCGGCTGTTCTCTCTGCCTCAGGGGCCTCCAGGAACCCTGGGGTCAAACGGGGCTCACAGACGTCGTCTCCCTTCAGAACATAACAGTCCAGAAGCCGCATTTCAGCACGATGTGTGAGGTTTTCTCCGCAAACTTCCTGAAATGGGCTTTCTGTTGTGAACACCCCTCAGAGACCCCCGCCAGACTTCCGGAGATCCCGGCCAGGCTGTCGAGTATGGCCTGGTCATGTTGTGAGTCTGCATCTTGAGTGAAGTTCCTTGCTTTGTGTGCTTGTTAAATATCTCGTTTCTTTGAGTGTTTTCTTCCTGCTTTGTCTGCTAACCCAAAAGCTGTGTGGGGGGTGACCTCTTTTCTTACTGTTGTCCTTGTTACTGTCTGGTGTTGTGTCCCGTAGACTCGATTCCAGCTCATAGCAGCCCCATGTGGCAGAGTGGAACTGCCCCATAGGGTTTCCTAGGCTGTAATCTTTATGGGGAGCCCTGGTGGCACAGTGGTTAAGAGCTCAGTTGCTAACCTAAAGGTCAGTGGTTCAAACCCACCAGCCGCTCCACAGGAGAAAGATGTGGTGGTCTGCTTCTGTAAAGATTTCCAGCCTTGGAAACCCTATGGGGCAGTTGTACTCTGTCCTGTAGGGTCGCTGTAAGTTGGAATCACCTCTACAGCAAAGGGTTTTTAATCTTTATGGGAGCAGATCACTAGGTCTTTCTCTCATAGAGCCACTAGGTGAGTTTGAACTGCCAACCTGTGGTTAGTAGCTGAGCACTTAACCATTGTGCCCTGAGGGCTCCTCTGTCTCATATTTAAAAAAAAAAAAAAAAAACCCATTGGTGTCGAGTGGATTCCGACTCACAGTGACCCTAGAAGACAAGTAGAACTGCCCCATGGGGTTTCCAAGGAGCAGCTGGTGGATTTGAACTGCCCGCGTTTTGGTTAGCAGCTGTCTTGATTATCTAGTGCTGCTCTAACAGAAATACCACAAGTGGGTGGCTTTAACAAACAGAAGTTTATTCTCTCACAGTCTGGTAGGCTAGAAGTCCAAATTCAGGGCACCAGCTCCAGTGGAAGGCTTTCTCTATTGGCTCTGCGGGAAGGTCCTTGTCATCAGTCTTCCCCAGTTGAGGAGCTTCTTAGCACAGGGATCCCCAGGTCCAAAGGACTCGCTATTCTCCTGGCTCTTATTTGTTGGTGGTATGAGGTCCCCATATCTCTCTGCTCACTTCTCTCTTTTGTATCAAAAGATACTGGCTTAAGACACAACCTAATCTTGTAGATTAAGTTCTGCCTCATTAACATAACTGCCCCTAACCCTGCGTCATTAACATCATAGAGGTAGGAAAATCTCATCAGATGACAAAATGGTGAACGATCACACAATACTAGGAATCAAGGCCTAGCCGAGTTGACACATATTTTGGGGGGACACAGTTCAATCCATGGCAGCAGCCGAACTCTTTAACCACTGTACCACCAGAGAGCCCTTTATCTGATATTGTTTCTAAAAAGAATGTAGCTTACTTTGTTAACGTTCTCTATTATTCTTCTTGACTATTTACTATTAGCTTTCGATGTTAAAAATTAGGCAAAATTTGACAGAATTTCATAATAATTTTTTAGAGATGTGTGAAAATTAAAAGTTCATTTTAAAAACAAACAATTGAACATAATTTAAATCAGTTCATTAAATTAAATGAATCAGTTGAAGGAACCACACACCTTTAGGGCCTCAAAAAACCAGTTTTTCAAACAGTTATAACACGAGTTAGTCATTTGTATTTTATGATGTTTTAGTTATTGAATTAAAATTACTACTCTTATTTTGCATATTTTTGTAAAGCTGCATGCTTAATTTTTTGAGTTTTTCAACTTGTTTTAAGGATATTCTGAAAATTCCAGAAGACCTTCAAAATTCTCTTATCCATTTTCTGAAGCCATAAACCCTTTATAGTCTACTTATGTATCTTATAAAGGAGCCCTGGTGGTGCAGTGGTTCAGCTTTCAGCTAACTGAAAGGTCGGCGGTTCGAACCCACCAGCCATTCCACAGGAGAAAAGACCTGGAGATCTGCTCCTGTAAAGATTACAGGCTTGGCAGCTAACAGATACATAAGGAAATGCTCACGATCGTTAGCCATTAGAGAAATGCAAATCAAAACTACCATGAGATACCGTCTCACCCCAACAAGGCTAGCATTAATCCAAAAAACACAAAGTAATAAATGCTGGAGA